TTATAATAGAGAGAGAAAATTGAGTACTATCAAGAGAGCCCAAAAAGAGAGTCCCAGCGAAAGCCAAAAAGTGGTATCTGGCATGCAACTTCTGAAAAATGGTATATGCCAGTTGGGAAGTGCTATATGCCATATGTCATTTGAAAAGTGGCCTATGCCAAATAAGAATTACCATATGCCATTTGAAAAGTGGGATATGCCAGCTGGGTCTTAAGTCAGGACTTAATCCTTCTAGACCCGTCTCCCTGACCTCTGTGGTTATGAAGCCCTTGGGGCGCCTTGTGCCTTCACAACTGATTAACGAGATCACTTACCCACTACAGTTTGCCTAAAGAGTGAGACCTATGCCTTATGAAATCTCTATATATTTTATTTGTTTTTATGAGAGAATAATAATAATTAAAAAAACAGTTTTCATCATATAATACTTTAAAGATATTCAGAAAATTATCATATGCTTTATAAACATTATCTTCTTGCAAAATAGACTCCCAGTTATGTTTCACTAAGTCCTCTTTGAAAGATTTGAGTGATTCCTCTGTCTTGTTTTTTTAAGCTTTGGATTACTTTTATCCTTTTTTATATAAAAATTGTTGCTGACAACAAAGACTGGAAGATGATCACTAAAATGCTGAACTATTAATCCACTTAACGTATTGTTACCTAAGATACTAGTAAATATATTATCTATTAATGTGGCGCTGTTAAGTGTGATCCTGCAGGGTGTAGTGATCCATGTTTTAGAGATGGCTATGATACTGAATGGCTGTTTAAACCTGTTCAGAGTCTTTTATGTTGTTGAAATTTGCATATAAACTTTTGCTGTTGAATTGTAGAAAATGTATTATCTACTTGAACTGCCGTGTTGAATTGATCAGTTGTGTAGTAGCAGCAGTTATCAACAATGTCATAGAAATAGTCGTCATCTTGATCCAAATTGTCTTTCATGTCCTGATCCGTATAGCTCAAAGTTTTCAGTTCCAGTTTATCTGCACTAACAGTTGTAGGTGTTAGTGTTGTGTCCATAAGTGATGCAGAAACAGTTCCTGTAACTTGTGACATGGTGAAAGTTAGTTGTATGTGATATCACCTGTGCTCCAAATGTTCTTCAAAGAGTTCTCTCATATTTATCTAGCTCTGTAATGTCCCAAATGACCAACTTGTCAGTTTGGTCATTCGTTCAATTACCTTGATGAAGACCTTACAGTTCATGGTCCATGTGGAGTGGATCTTCTTCTGTTTCCTCAGGAAACAGGCCTTCCTCACAATGTCGGCGTTCTTCTTGATCAAGTTCTTATTAATGAACACGTCTGACACATAATAATCACAGGTTTGTCGTTGAGAGTCTGGCTTAACCCGCAGTCCGATGATGATCGCATCTTTCCTTTTGGTGTACTGTTCCAAGTCAGACACTCAGTCGGGTCGAATGGCTGCGGTTTCTCCAGAAAGGAAATCCAGCGCTTTCCTTATCTCCTCAAAATTCTCAAAGGCTGGATTCTTCTTTGGGCCCATGCTGACAACAGGAATGTAAACACTGCCATGTAACAGCCCAGAAGCTGCCAACCTCAAGTTGCCACTTTTGCACCTTTGGCACAACTTCCAGCTTAACAGGCTAATCCGTTTGACTGGCAACAGTGAATCCTACTGGCAACAGTGATTCCCAAATTTAATTCATACAGTATGTCACATCATTATAAAACAAACAGCAAAGTTATCATACATAAAATAGAACTTTAAGAAAATGTATGAAAAATATGACTCAGAGCAACAATATACACCGTTAACATTAATTTTATACAAATTCCCATAACACATTTCAAATACGTGCCTGAACTTAACAATTTACAGGATTTTGTTCAACAAAGGGCTTGTGCATTATCAAATCAGAGCAACAAGCCTGTCACTTGGGGCATTCCCAGGTGCTTCATTTGGGTCAGGGAATTCCTTTAACAGCAGTTCAGGGACCATGTTGTCCCTGCCACATCCTGATCAGATTCCAAGATGTCTCCATTGTCCAAGCAAATGTTATGCAGAAAGACACATAATGCTATTAATTGGGGTGCAAATGTAGGCTTGACTTCCAGGGCCTTAAAAAGTGCAGACCTCCACTGAGTTTTCATTATGACAAAGGCTCTTTCTTTAATTGAACGCCCCTTTGCATGGTGGTGGTTGAACTTCCGTTGCACTCTGCAATTCACCGGTTCCCTGTAGGGGGTGATAAGGCAGATTGGGTGAGGGTTGTTTCCAAACACATGTATCTTCCATCACCCAGAATTAAGTACCCACATGGAGGATACCATCTTGCTGCATAAAAAGAGCTCCTTTTCAGAATCCAAGTGTCATGTACAGACCCCAGAAAGCCCACAAAAATATAGAAGAATTTTCTAGAGGAGTCACAAATTGCCTGTATGGTTATTGAATAGATAGATTTGTGATTTAAATAGTTCAGCGTATGGAGTGGTGGGGGCTTAATCCGAATGTCGCAACCATTATTGCACAGACAGCTTTATTGAGGATGGGTGTCCCCGAAAGTTTACCAAATCCATGACCCACACTGTCCAGATTTGTCAGGCTTGGAAAGGATATTGCTCTGCTTAAATTGACCCAAATGCAACCTTGTGGACATTTCTATGGATGGTTGACCTGGGGATATTAAAAACACATGACACCACATGATAAGGCAGACCATGGGCAGGCCAGTAAACATATATCAGAACTTCTAGCCGAAAGCCCCAGCCATGTTCCTCTTCTCTCCTCTGTAGGTCATGCATGGCCTTCCTATTCAGTCTGAAGTCCTGGATGAGTTCCAACTCCAAGTCAAACCTCAAGCGCAGAATTGGCACATTCCTGTCCAACGTACAGTAGGTTAGTGGACGGCCACTCTGGAACAGAATAGGCAACAACAACAAGCTTTAAGACATATTCATAAACATAGGAAAAGAAAAAAAATGCTTTTACTTTTATTTTCTACATATGTATTGTGTGAACATATTTTTTCTTTTAAAAGTAGTCATAACTCTGTGGCAGCAAAAGTGTGAGTTAAATAATATTCCTTAAAAGCCATGGGGTGTGGGACCTACAGGAATTTTTTTCTAACTTTAGCAGTTAAGCTTCAGGATTAAGGTGGACTCCATTTGTTTGTTTCATTATTTGCTTACTTTCTCCTCGTGTCATTTGTTAATGACTCAGAGGCTATACCATCCGTGAAAAAATAACAATAATAATAAGGTTATTATTTTTTTTAAAGAAACAAGTAATATTATAATGTATTAGCCTTAAGGCTAACATTATTAGACCAACACAGCGTCATAACAAATGAGTTGGCATACTGTACACAGATTAATAAGCAGGGGAGCTGTCGATTTTCCACATTTCTTCTCTGGGTTGGCCAAACAGAGAAAGTTCATCAGCGCTAAAGCAATAGGTAAAATAAATGCTGGGGCTGGCATTTCCAAACATATAAACACTTAGAACATAAATACAGCGAAGGTTTTGACTCCTGCTGTGGTTACGCATTACATAAGTGAACACAACTCATAGTGTACAGGTAATGTATTACCGCCATGCACTGGGCTGGGGTGCAACTTTGCAACTAGCAGCGGCCCATCTCTTCATTGTGGGCAGAACTCATTCGATTGTTCTAAGAGCCAAGTGAGAGGAATGGAAGAGGGCCGTACACTTGCTCTTATGAGGTTTTTTGAAAGCTTGTGACTCGTGATTATGAAAGCTCATGACTGTGTTAACAACAGGTTGAGATTTTGATTGGTGCACCCATATTTTTGTTTTGGTTTTTATTTTATTTTATTTGTGTTTTGGAGTGAATATGTGTGATGAATGTATGTGAGCGCTTATGATGAATAACTGATCCATCTTGATGCGTTTTTATGATTTGAAAAGTTGGTACAGACTTTGATATTTTGATCATCCAGCATCTTGACATCTATCGTCTTTTGGTGTTGCTCCTCCTGTCCAAAATCATAGAAGACTTATTGGGTTTCTCATTGTCATGTGATGGGGCAAAACTAAAACAAAATAACTGTATGATCTGACTGAATTGTTTTTATAAAGTGCCCTGAGGTTATGTGAATTTGCAGTAAATAAATAAGCTGAATTGAATAAATTAAATTAACAAAGCAGAAGTTTTCAGCTGACACATGTTTAATTTTTTTAGGTAAAGCACATAAACCAAACTACATCAACAACAACTAAACAATGGTGGAAATGCTTTTTAAATAGAGGTGAAACCATTATAAACAAATACACATCTCCAAAATAACAAAGAAACAAGAATATTAATTTCAAATTATCAGCTAATGAAACAATACATTTACAAATCAAGACAAAAAAGAAATATCTTTAATCAATCCAATAAAATCAAGTACTCAAAACTTAACACAGAAAAACACCATACATACACCATACTTCGTGTTGTTTCCATCACTAAGCTGCCTGGTAAAAATTGACCAATGAAGACGCAGATTTCTTGAATCTGGAGTCATTGTCTGCACATATTCTGTGTATACTAAATAAATATACCTCTAAGGGTTGTTTAAATGTTAAACAAAAAAACAGTGCACAGCCCTTTCTAATGTCATATTCCCATTATATAAAGTGTAAATGGATCTGTATGCTGATTGCCTTTTGTAAAGGTTTATGTTAAAAGTTAACCATTCCTATATGGTGGGCTTCCATAGCTTAAGAAACCTCTGCTGGCGAACACATTTCTGTTGCCAGGCTGTGTGTAGCCCTCTTTGTTTGCAAAGAGTAACTGTTTCAAATGCAGCTAATAGAGGTTAATGCGCAAACTCATGGCCAACCAAGTGATCCAGACAGGCATGTTTTGCAATACTCTTTTTTTTTTTCTATTCAATCCAGTAGTATCAGTAAGAGAAACTGGGTGACAGGAATCTTCTATTGGATGTCATGTCATTCTGGGTGGAGCTGAACACAAAAGATCAAGTATTAAATGCTAATGGTTAAAGAAAAATGTTATTGTTCAAGATGTCTCTTCTTGACATGTGGGATCACTGTGATTATCATCCTTTTCTGCAAAGGTGGGAAAATATGTTAAATGATTTATATTACCCTGCCTCTCGCCCATTGACTGCTGGAGATAGGCACCAGCACCACTCGCGACCCCAATTGGGACAAGCGTGTTAGATAATGGATGGATGGATGGATTTATATTACACAGGCTCTTATATATTTATAGCCTGTGCACACTGTGGAAATCATCGAAATGGTCATTTGATTTATAGAATCAATATTTTTTAAAAGAAAGAAAATTTAAATGTTTTTTAAACATCTTATTTAGGCACTAGAATATTGGATCTGATGCTTTTGTCCCTCTAATGTTCTCAAAGCTAGTTAAGTTTAGTCAGAAGGAAAACTACCATATCTTATAAATATCAGTAATTAGAAGCAAAATGCAATGAATTAAAGTGTAATTTAAAGTATACTAAAATAGATTAGAAATACCTGAGAGTTGCATCATTTTATGATTATTTATCTCTATAACAATAAAAAATAATAAAAAAACATGACTAACAGGAGACCTGAACTGATAAGCAATGATTGCACCACTGGTTGTGCAACTCAATATTAGTGATAAAACTGTTGTATAGAAGAGGGGTGGGGGTAATTTATTCTCTTGATTTGATCCATTTGTTAACTTGCTAAATGGTTTCTTGTTCTGGAAATATGTTTAAAGCTGTTTGGTTGTGTTCTATGTCTACAGCTGTTCTCTTTAGACAGTCTCCTAGTTGCTGCAGTATAGTCTAAGTCAGTTGTAACCCTAGTTACAACTGTTGTACAGTTAAGTTGTGTCTTGTTCAGTCATTTTCACTTATTTCTAGTTTTTGCATTTATTAAGTACTCTTAATGGCAATGTTGTTTGATCAAAGTAATGCCGTAAGTTATCGTTCTCTATTTGAAATCAGTCTTATTTGATCAGATATTTAGAGTGCGTGGAAAGGTTGTATTTACTACTCTGCCTGAGGAAGAAAATAAAATCTGAGGAAGTGTTTGTCAGTTTTGATGGATGTGTTTGATACTGTAAAATATCTCACCGGACTCATTTGAAATATTTTTATGCGTGGGCACGTATATGTCAAATTTAAGAATTCCCTCACAATCTGGTTAGTTACCAAAACCGAAAAACAAGAAAATGAAACAGAACAATTCCCCCCTTTCTCTCCATATCTTTTCTTTACCTGTTAAGAATAAAAATTACTTTAACATACCTTTCTGTTAAAACTATGTCTTTATTACACAGAACATATTAAAAAGGGATTTGAAACCTTTAAATGTGACTTTACAAGGACACATTCTATATGAAAGAACAATGGAGGTAGTGCAGTAGATGTAACAAGGAAGGCCAGATCTGTACGGTTGCAACATGTTTATGTAAATCATATATCTAATATATGGGCAAAATGGATTTAAATGTGCAAAGTAGATGTGTGCTACAGGATTAGTAACCAAAGTCTGCGGTAGAAAAAGAAAAAGAAACCCGAGCGCAGAAGCACAAAAAAAGGTTTCTTAAATCCCACTGTCTCTACAACATTTATCATTATGTTTGCTAGGCCTATTTTTTTTCTCCTAGTGTGATGAAACTGCTTAGTTGCTAAATTATTTCTCATCCTGGAAATATTTTTTGTCAAAGCTGTTTGGTGTAATTTGTGTCTATAAAGCTTATGTCTAAAGACAAAAGCCCTGCTGTAATACCTTAATTTCAAATGTACCTATAAAGCACAGCTTGCAAATGTACCAACGTGCTGTGAGGTTTTCATAAAAACCATCAATGAATGAAGAACATTTGAATAAAACAACTAAAACCAGAAAAAAAATGGACAGGTAGTTGACAGAGTCAGACCTTAAATACAAAGAATATATATGAACTTTCAGAAGTGATCCAAAATTGGGGCAGACCTTATACACACTCAAAGATAGAGCTACCAGCATGTACATAAAATGATGGAAGGGTTATAATTAGTGTAAACAGTTCCTAAATTTATGTGCAGTTCAGGTCAAAAACAGTCCCACTAACATTTGTTGTCATGTTAACTTGATAAACAAAAGTAGAAAGCTTTATTAAAGAAAAAACAAATATATATATATATATATATATATATATATATATATATATATATATATATATATATATATATATATATATATATATATATATATATATATATATATATATATATATCTGGCAACTAATGCTGATTACAGTATATTTATGAACTCTAAGATAAGTGGTTGCATTTGTCTTCATACTAATTAATATTGATTAGGACACCATCTGGAGTAGAGGAAGATATAGCTACAATTAAGGACATTAATTTATGCTTTATTGTAGCATTTTTTATTGTGTTATGGTAAGCTGGTAAGATCAAAGTGTATTTATAAGGAGTATTTAAAATCAGGCTCTTTTAGCATCAGATACATATAGTACAATAAGATTTGATAACATATTTTTTTCTGTCTGTTAATATTAAATATCTCACCAACCTGTATGTCTAACATATTTGTGTGTGTATAAATTTCAGGAATTAAATCAGAACCTGGTAAGTATCCTACCCTCTTTTTTTTAAAACAGCAGAAAAACTGAAAGAAAAAGAAATATGACTGTGTTTACATTTATATATATTATTTGTTCTTTAAAATGTTTGTGTTCCATGCAGCAGAAGAATAAACTGTTTGAAACTGAAAGACCCATTTTGGAAATAATAATTATAACAATAGTGATAATAAAAGCTTCAATTCTAATCCTTTTTTTTATATATATATAATTTTGTGGATATTGTCAGCCTGTGCCAGGTCTTCAATCAACAGCAGGATCTTAGGAGGGCAAGAGGCCTCTCCGGGAAGTTGGCCCTGGCATGTTGCTTTTACCAGTAAAGGCAGGATCTTTTGTCAAGGCTCCCTGATTACAGACCAATGGGTGCTGACAGCTGCTAGATGCTATGAGTAGTAAGACACTATTTTTGCTTGTGATGATGAATATGATGTTGTGCAGCAACTAACAGAAGACAAAATTTCAGAATCCTTTTTTATTTCTTCATTATTTAGCAGAATTTAGCAGAAATAGAATTTAAAAATAAATCTTGTCAATACTTTTCCTTAGTCCTGAGCTGAATTTCTCTGAGATAGCAGCAGAAAGTTCAGCAAAGCAAAGGAGGATCTGATTAATGTGATACTCAAAATTAAAAATTATGTTTTTCTTTCTTCTCTAAGTTCTTACCTCAGTGGTGCAATATTGCACTTAGGTGCCAAAAACCATTCAAGATTTGGGGAAGTAACTCGGAGAGTTTACTCCATTGTTTGCCACCAAGACTACGGCGCTTTTTATTTAAATTGTGCTGAGAACGACATCTGTCTTCTAAAGATGTCAGCTCCTGTCAACTTGACAGACTACATCCAACCGGTCTGCTTGGCCTCAGAAGAAAGCACTTTCTATGATGGAACTGCCAGCTGGGTCACTAGTTTTGGTGAAGGCTGTAAGTCTGATTGTTTTTTGTTTTGTTATTCATGAAAGCTGCATTTACAATACAACTTTTAGAATCCTTTAAAAAGATCTAACCTTTACACTTTTTATACTTAGATGAAGATTATGATCCAGAATTGATCCAAGAGATTAATGCATCAGTATTTGGGAACAATAAATGCAGATGCTTCTATAAGAACTCGGACTTCTTACCTTTAATAACAGAGAATACGATATGTGCTGAAACAGAAAATGGATCAAAGGATGCAAACTATGTAAATACATTTTATTTTATCTTTGATTATATTTTTTGTATTTGTCCAAAATAAAAATAAAAGTTTAAATGTGTTTAACTGAATTTAGCCAGCTCTGAATTTGGGCAATACATTACAATATGCCCACACTTTGTTGACTATAATATAATACAATAATTTTCTGCATGCCCTTAAAAAAAAAAAAAAAAGAAGAAAAACAGGGGTGCTAATATCTACATTCTTCTAACACAACACTTTCACAGGGTGACAATGGGGCTCCTCTAGTGAACAAAAAAGGCTCCAACTGGGTCCAGAGTGGGATTTCGAGTTATTGGTATGATGATGACCGTGGTCAACCTACTATCTACACTCTTGTGTCAAAGTACCAGAAATGGATGAGTGACAGAGTCACTGGCATGGAACCAGGCTTTGTGACCTTCACCTCCCCAGGCAATGACACAAACTTGAACTTCACCTGTCCCACACCAGCACCTACCACTGAATTCCCCTATTCAACAGGCTACCCTTACTTTACCACTGAAAAAAGCATATTTAGCAGTGGTGAAGCTGTGGTTCCTACTGCCCATGTTTTCTCTTACGTTCCTTGTCTGCTTCTCCATCTCTTTGTTGGTGGCACCAATATTTAACTTAGAACTTTTAACTATGCTGCACTTAAGTTTGTAAACTTGGAAGCTTTGGCCTTTCTTCAACATCTCAGATGGTTAAAATTTGTTTTTTTGTGTGTTTTTTCTCTAAATAAGCTTAAGTTTCATGTTCAGTTCTTTTTTACTTACTTTACAGCTCACCACATCCTACAGTCAAATTGATTCAATGTTTTCTGTCTAAGGAAAACCAGATGATTGAATCGAATGCAATCCCTCACACTAAGCATGTTTGTAGCGACAGTGGAGAGGAAAAACTCCCTTTTAACAGGAAGAAACGTCCAGCAGAACCAGGCTCAGTGTGAGTGTCTATGAAAGTCACAGATAATTTCTCTCCAAACCAAATAAAAGGTGAAATAGGTTTAGTCACAAGTAATATAAAAACATCAAAAATGCTTGAAAAAGAAATGCATTCCAACCTTTTTATTTTATATCCTGTAGTGTCATGTGCAGGTTACGATATTTAACAAAATGGCAAGCATAATTTAACTCTTGTGTAAATAACATAAATCAATAAACAAACAAAAGCTAATCAGTAATGCATTTTAACTTTTGTTTTGTCCAAATAAAGGTGTACCAGTCATTCTGTATTCTTTCAATTTTTTTAGACAAACATCATTATTTTATGCTGGACAAGATGTTTGCTGATTAAACTGCAGCCTTTTACAATTCACAAGAGATGGCTTAACACCAATGCAAGGACAAAATCGTTGCTTTCTAGGAAAAGCACGGATTTAAAAATGTAAGTTGTACAGAGACAACTTCGATGCTGACAGACAATTTCCGGTTTTAACTATTTTTACTTTACAATTATTACAAAGTATGAAGTTTCATTTTTTAGCTATTTCATCCAGTAAGTCACTGATTTCATTCAAAAGCTGTTAGGTTACTGTAACAATCAATACTGAGGTGCGTTGATACAGCCTGACAGCACTGTTGCCATGGGTATTTGGACATGTGATGAGTATTTTATTCATACTGGTGGGTGAAAATCCAAATTCAGCTGTAGCCATTCTACTTTTTTCCATTTTTCATTTAATTTTATTTTTTTGGCACGGCACAAATTTCAGCAGTCCTGCTTCCTCCAGACTTTGAATATGAAAATGGCACACAGTATATAATGCCTCTAGGCAAATATGAAGCATGAAGATAGAGGTGTCATGGTGTGGGGATTATTTTATGGAACAGGAGCTTACCAGCAGGGTAAGACAAAGTAGTAAATCCACCACCCCATGCTGTGGGGTGAACAGAAACAGACTGCATGTGTAAGGGACCCTTTAAAACAGGGGTGGGCAGTTCCTGTTCTTGAGGACAGGTAACCTGCAGCCTTTAGATGTGCTCTTGATCCAGCACACCCGAGTCAAGTAATTATATGATTACGAGGACTTTGGAAAAATTGACTGCATACCGAGGAGATAATTCAGCCAGCAGATTTATGTATGTTGGACCGAGATGTTTCTAAAAGTTGCCCTTAGAAATTAGAATTGCCCACCCCTGTTCTAAAATATCTTACTGCTTAAAGTTTGGGATTGGGAAAGCTTCTTTCAACCTATATCAGAGACAGATAGATGGCTACATTCAGGATTCTGAAATCAAATGGGGCAAGCCCAGCTGTTTAGAAACTAAGGTGTTCTAAATATTTCCTGTTTTTTTTACTGGGTGAAAGAAAAGGGGATAATTTATGTTGTATACATGTAATTGAGTAAACTGTTTTCTAGGTGAACATTGACCAAAAAAAAAAAAAGTCAGCTTTTTTAAATAACAGCTTTGTCATTAGGATTGCTTGTCTTTTCACGTGACTGTAAGTACAAGACTTGTTTAACTACTTTTACATATCTGGCAGTTGAAAGATTTACAGTAAGCAAATAAGAGGACCTGTTTTAAATGATGTGTCACGTAAAAATGAGACTTGAAAGGTTCACTTGTGTCAAGGTTGCCAAGTTCCTGAAACTCTGGATTCTATTTAGATCAGTACCTGCCTCAGGGCTCACCTACAACCTCCTCCTGTTAAAACTCGGGTTCCAAGCCTAAGTTGGCTGTGTTTAACTTCTGTGATAGTGGCCTGCTTTCCCTCAGTGTTCAGGATCCAACCAATTACTTTGTTCACTGTGTTGGGATTTTATATTATATACTGATCGGTGTTGAATGCCATATTAATGTTGTGGATTTATATTCTATTCAATTCCCAGCCAGCTGGGAATTTATATTTCTGACACTTTAAGATGTTTATTGCCCTCCCCGGTAGGGGTGGTAGATATCTTATCATTATTAATCAGATATTATTTCGGCTGTTATATATTGTTTGTGACACATGCCCTACTAGCTATGTGATAGAACAATAAATGAAAGAGTGATTCTAGCACTATTCATGGTCAAACAGGTGATTTTGCACATACATGGAATAAATTCACCACAACTTCTGTTCAAAATATGAGTTTATTAACAAAAATCATTCAGCTCCAAGTCAAACATATTTCAGGTTAAAACTCTTAAGTAAAACTAGTGAAACTGAACTAAACTAAATTACTATGTAAAAGTGGAAGTGGAACATGGTTGAAAACCATATTACAGTTTAAGGTGGATCTTGTGTTTGAAAACCAAAGTTTTTCTGGAAGATCTGGGATATGATCAAATTAGCTTTTCACTAGTTTAGAGAAACTTGATTTTTTTTTTCAGACCAATTCACAATGCAAATCCATGAGGTGAATAAAACATTATTTGGCCAAATAATGTTTTTTTTTTAATGATTTGCTTAATCAAGAACCAATAACCTTTAGTCAAATGATTCTTTACCCTCTTTGAAACAGCTAGCAGCGAATAGACATCAGTATTCCACTATATGGAGCCTAGGCAGAAGTTCAACTGAAGAAACTGATTGCTCTCTTAAATCAACCTAGGACACAGCAATCAGCTCTGAACCACACCTCCATGAAAGCCAATCAGCATCCAAAGTTCATCTTAAAAGGCCTCTGATCCACTTGTGTGCTCCTGTGCACAGGCTGTGGATGCGTTGTGTGACTTCATTCAGATGACACCGTTTCAACCCACCTCCAGCCCCTCCTCCACCATTGCAGCTAAAGCTTCATCAGAGTGTCATTCCTCCCGGACTCTTACTGCATTCCGCGTCTCATTTCAACCGGTTCGGCAGAAGACCGCCATGTTGAGCCTGGTTCTGCCAGAGGTTTCTTCCCAACAGGGAGTTTTTCCTCTCCACTGTCGCTTCATGCTTGTTCATCATGGACAGGTTCTCTCAACCTGTGTTATCCAACTGGACTTCCATTTTCCAGGTCCCTGAGTGAAGCTCTAGTATTCGCTCACGCGATCCACTGGATCTCCCCATAGAGCTCAGCATACAGTCTCACTAACCAGCAGTCTACAGACTGACCATCTACCTCCACTCCACCATCAGATTCAGGCCTGGTGGGAAACAGCACTATTCTTTACTCCTGTTCATGCATATCTATCAAAACTAAGCGCTATGTTTCCTGCCGAGGTTTGAGCGCCAAAGACCAAGTAATTGTTTTAATAAATTTCTTCTAATAGACTTAGTGAGAGTTTTTCAGATTGAAATGATAATAAGCAATGTGAAGTGATCGTAAAATGACAAAACAGAGATAGCCTCCATATAATGGAATTTTTTTTTCTTCTTTTTTATTGCTTTATACACTCACCGGCCACTTTATTAGGTACACCTGTCCAACTGCTCGGTAACTCTTAATTTCTAAGCAGCTAATCACATGGCGGCAACTCAGTGCATTTAGGCATGTAGACATGGTCAAGACAATCTCCTGCAGTTCAAACCGAGCATCAGTATGGGGAAGAAAGGTGATTTGAGTGACTTTGAACGTGGCATGATTGTTGGTGCCAGAAGGGCTGGTCTGAGTATTTCAGAAACTGCTGATCTACTGGGATTTTCACGCACAACCATCTCTAGGGTTTACAGAGAATGGTCCGAAAAAGAAAAAACATCCAGTGAGCGGCAGTTCTGTGGGCGAAAATGCCTTGTTGATGCCAGAGGACAGAGGAGAATGGCCAGACTGGTTCGAGCTGATAGAAGGGCAACAGTGACTCAAATAACCACCCGTTACAACCAAGGTGGGCAGAAGAGCATCTCTGAACGCACAGTACGTCGAACTTTGAGGCAGATGGGCTAAAGCAGCAGAAGACCACACCGGGTGCCACTCCTTTCAGCTAAGAACAGGAAACTGAGGCTACAATTTGCCCAAGCTCATCGAAATTGGACAATAGAAGATTGGAAAAACGTTGCCTGGTCTGATGAGTCTCTATTTCTGCTGCGACATTCGGATTGTAGGGTCAGAATTTGGCGTCTAAAACATGAAAGCATGGATCCATCCTGCCTTTTATCAACGGTTCAGGCTGGTGGTGGTGGTGTCATGGTGTGGGGAATATTTTCTTGGCACTCTTTGGGCCCCTTGGTACCAATTGAGCATCGTTGCAACGCCACAGCCTACCTGAGTATTGTTGCTGACCATGTCCATCCCTTTATGACCACAATGTACCCAACTTCTGATTGTTACTTTCAGCAGGATAATGCGCCATATCATAAAGCTGGAATCATCTCAGACTGGTTTCTTGAACATGACAATGAGTTCACTGTACTCAAATGGCCTCCACAGTCACCAGAGCTCAATCCAATAGAGCATCTTTGGGATGTGGTGGAACGGGAGATTCGCATCATGGATGTGCAGCCGACAAATCTGCGGCAACTGTGTGATGCCATCATGTCAATATGGACCAAACTCCCTGAGGAATGCTTCCAGCACCTTGTTGAATCTATGCCACGAAGAATTGAGGCAGTTCTGAAGGCAAAAGGGGGTCCAACCCGTTATTAGCATGGGGTACCTAATCAAGTGGCCGGTGAGTGTATTAAGTTGCTATAATTCAGATATAAACAGCAAATTTGCCTTTTTCTTTCACTCTGCATTTGTAAGTCCCAACCCTGTTTGCATTCCAGCTGGCTCTGATGAAAAGACTAATTAGAAGAGCAATTGTTTACAGGAAGTAGGCAAGAAACTTAAACTACCTTGTCTAGCTTCCTCTAAGTTCTCTTCCCGGACAACATAGCCTAACCTG